AGAAACGTGCAGCTATATAAAATAATGTTTTATTATTACATCTTGAATACTATTTGCACTTAAAAACAAGCATAAATTTTCTTTCGATTAGTATTAACTATGGAAAAAAAAATCATAATTATTGTGCAATTAAGAATTTATCAACTATATTATCAACTTCAAAAAATTCTATGTTTTCATTATTTCGATAAAATTTATAAGAATATTATTTTTAATAAACGATAAACAAAATCATTTGAAATGAAAATAGATATTTTTATATATTATCTGCTCTCAAAATTATTGCCAACTTATTATCAACTTGTAAATCAAATTATGCAAAAATTTATGAAACAGTCCAGAAATACATACCATGTAAATGCGAAACACAAAGAAATGTGATCTTTGAAACGTGATATTTACACAAAAGTCGTGGTATGTATATTACATTACATTAAACTCGCGTAGTAAAGTTTAATCGATGTAAATTAAGTCAAACACAATAATGGAACTTAACCTAGCGAAATTATGCATCGCTCGCACGCTAAATCTTAGCTAGTTGTTAGGTACGGAACGAATCATGGTGTATGCGTTAAGTTGTTCGCATACAAGTTTTGCCCTCTCTCGTAACATTTCCGAACTACAAATGCAACATGGAACGCATTAGTTTTTATTACAAGACGCAATCTTTAAGAATTGTATTATAAATATTATCATTTGTGCAAACAAAAATCTTGAAGTTCGTGAGAAAATGACATTTTAATTCTTCGAACATAATATGATGTATGATTATATTGCAAGATATGTAATAGAAAGAGAGAAAAAAAAAAAGAAATATTACTAATTGTTCCTTGAAGAAATTGAAAGAATCGAAGGATATTAACGACTTGAATAAGCAATGGAGGCTCGAGCGAATTTCCTCTCGGCACAAAATCGATTCCCGCCAACAACTGCGATTCATCAACGTTACGATCGTTACTAGTGATTCGCTTAATAGTAAGCATAATTATATCGTTACCGCGTGATTCAACGACGACAGACGTTCAGAAAGCCGTCACGCCGATTTGTTCACGTTGAATAATACTCAAGGTACCGTTGTATTATAAAATGATCCCTTCCAATTATGTTATACTGCGTTTTTAATTTAACATTTTTAATTCCCTCCCTTTTGTTTATAGACATATACATATATTATAAATATATATATATATATATTTTTTCTTTTCACACCCTATTTTCCTAGTTAATACGAAGCCTAATTTTAAACAACGGAGAACGTTGTCGATGTTGTTTATTAAAATGGCGATCCCAATTTCAAGGTTACCATGGTAACAAAATATATCTGTTACGAGATATTTTCAACGAGATGATATATAAATAAATAAATAATTAAATAATTAAACTAAATAATACTCAAAACAGGCCTGCACGTTGCCTGAAAGGAAAAGCGACAAGCTAAGCTTGCGCTTCATATCATAATTAAGAAAAATTGATAGATTCTTTTTTTTATGTTTATATAAATGAAGGTTAATTAAAGATTTAATAAAGAATCTCGACTATGTGTATATAGGAAACTGTACGTGTTGGCCTATCCAGTACAAAAAAAAATCGTTATAATATTATAGATCACAGATTATTGTGTTATGTGAATAATTACATTTTATGTTGTTAACGAAGTCGTAATATATACACATGTTTCTATACATATATAGATATACAGATATATGTACGAATATATATACATATATATAATATGTATACGCATACATACATAGATATGTATGTAATTGCATATAATGTTAACACAGCTCTCTCTCTCTCTCTCTCTCTCTCTCTTCCTTCCTCTCTATTTCTTTTCTTTTTCTTTCTTATTTTATTTTCGTTTTTTATTCTCTTCTCATTCTCTGTTTCTCTCTACTTGTTTGCTCTCGCCATGCAGCTGGAGAAGACTACTTATAGAGGATCGTTTTTGTTTTGTACTTAAGCGTGCTCGTACGCACCCGAACTATGTTTTGTACCACGTGAAGAATGGCAATAAAGTAGTTGACCAATTCCTTTTTTTAACACCGTGTATAATTGTATTTCCACCTTCGTTATTTGTACTTCATGTACCTCCATAAATCACCATATATCTTCATATATTTTCTCTCCATGATATTAAAATGCATCAAATTTATTGATTAATTTTATTTTAATAAAATATATTTAAAGAATTAAGTTTAAATATTATTATTAATCTCATTTTAAAGGTAAGTTATCTTTTTAAATAAAAAGATTTTATAATTAGTCAATTTAAACATAAATATTTTTTTGATAATTTCTTAATAATTTTATTTTCTTTCTTTAATAGCAATAAGATCGCAGCAACATTAAAAAATTTAATATTCACTAGATAAAAATTTGTTTCTTTTTCTCAAATTTTAAAGATTTAAAAATTTAATTATAGATAGGGTTATTTAATAAAAAAATTAAAATGATTGTTAAGATAGATCTATAAAGTGGTCCATTTATTATAAGCAGGAAATTGGAATACTCGAAGATAGAGTAATTTCCAAAAAGTTGTCTCTTATATTAGGACGGTAATCTTACTAAAGTATCATACAAAGTACAGATATACTTAAATAATATTAACAAGATTATTCCAATGATACATTATATTATACGAAACAAAATTCTGATATATTTTATAAATTGTGTAAAGATGAAGAAATGCTGCATCATAGATTTAAAAAATGATTAATATATAATACCAAAATATACATACAAGAAAAAAAAAAAAGAATATTATCAAAATGCAAATTAACATTTCATGGAATAATCTTATCTAATTAACTAGGAATCGAAGAGATCCCACTAAAACTAGTAAAAAAAATAGAAACTTTTAAAATTTTCATAAAAAATATATTATTAAATTCCCATTAAGTACGAATAAGTTTTATATAATTAAGAAAGCACACATAGATCTTTAATATAATAACAAGCATTTTAAATCACATTCCATACAGTGGGTGAAAAATCGCTCTTCACATGTAGCATTTTTTAAAATAATTATTTATTCACCAATATGAACAAGTAGATCATGTATAGCAGGCTGTCGATGACGACATGAGCGCAGATTTATGATTTATAAGGATTAAATCGAGTTTCAATGATAGATAACGTAATTAAATATGGTGAAAATGCTTTGTATCACTGTATCTATACGTGTATTTATAATTGCATCCGATTCCTTAAAGTTAACACATCTGTTAAACAAACGCGCTCTGGTCATCGCGCATTCGCGCCATTTTAATTTCATTCTAGAGCGTAATAAAAAATATTCTTCGCTTTCCTAGTCAATTTGCATTTAAATCGATTCTTTTATTTTTATTTATTTATTTAAATTTATTATTTTTGAAAGTCATTTGTAAGGCTCAATGATCACGGAACACGGGGAGCCTCGTTCTTCCATTGACTACTACTTCTAAACCATCCATAGACTCTTCATAAACTCTTCAAAACGAAAACAATTCTTGTTAATACACATATATATTAAAGCACATTGACGAAGAATTTGATTTTGCACTGAATAACAATATCAAGTTAGAATTTATAATTAATTTTTTACAACGATAAAAGATATCAATTCGAATAAAACATGATCATAATTGCTATGTCATTTTTTAAAGATTGATATCATTTTAAGCTAAATGTAACGAGTTATAAAATGTTTTATGATATAATTATAAAGACATTTAATAACGTATGAAGATAAGTATATATATATATATATTTTTTTTTTATTTAGGATAAATTTAAGAATCTTAAGAAGATAATGGCAGCTACCTGTGTCCCGCATAAATTAATCCAGGAATAATCTAAAAATGTTATCGCACTAATTCAAAACTGTTAAAGAAGATTGGATCCTCTTGTTATCACACGAAAATAGATAGTATTGTCGAAGCACGAGTCTTATCGAAGAATATTGATAGTCAGAATTCGTATGTCATAGGAATACATCGAGGTAATACCATTTCAGATGTTTAATATTATCGAGGTCCAGTGTATAAGATCCGGGAGAAAACGCCACCATAAAATATCTATCTTCAAAGCGTGTGTGCCCTACATTCACAAATTCGTGGTGCAAAAAACAGGTTGAAACATTAAGGTACGTATCAACGATATATTATATTATGCGTTATAAAAAATCGCCATAGTGCAAATAAGTTCGATAAAATAAGGAAATTAATTGCCATCTTCTTGAGTAACATGATCTTCGTTAGAGGAAACGCAAATTTCTGATACAAGCTCTTGTCATCGTACAAAAATCAACTCTATGGATTAATCAATACAAAAAATC